GAAGAGGTTGGACAGGAGGGGCATTTGCATGGGGGAAGAGCCGGGCAGGTGGGGGCATTAGCATGGGTAGAGTTGGACAGATGTGGCCCTTAGCATTGGGATAGCCGGCAGATGGGCATTAGCATGGGTAAGAGCGCGGAGCACGATGGGGCATTAGCAATGGGGAAGAGCCGGGCAGATGGGGGCATTAGCATGGGGAGAGCCGTGCACAAAAAAGCTGGGGGGGGGGGGGGGGGGGTGGGCAATAGACCTGTAGGGGAAGAGGTCTGGACAGATGGGGCATTACGATGGGGAGAGCCGGGCAGATGGGGCCATTAGCATGGAAGGAAGAGCCGGGCATATGGGGCATAGCATGGGAATAGCCCGGAGCAGATGGGCGATAGCATGGGGAGGAATTTGGGCAGAGACTGGGCATAGCATGGTAAGACGTTGGACAGCAGTGGGCATTAGCCTGGGGAAGAGTTGGACAGATGGGACAGTAGCATTGGGAAGAGTTGACCATGATGGGACATTTAGCATGGGGACGGTTGGACAGATGGTAGCGATTAGCATGGGGAAGAGTGGACAGATGGGGCATTAGCATGGGAAGTGGACAGACTGTGGGGTGACATTAGCATGGGGAGAGTTGGACGAGGGATGGGGGGGCAGTGGGGGGGGTGAGGGCATGGTGAATATCCTGAGCAAGGTGGGGGGCATTAGCATCGGGGAATATGTTGGACAGCTTACATTAGCAGTGGGGAAGGTTGGACAGATGGGCATTAGCACATGGGAAGATCCGGGCAATGGGCATTAGCATGGGGAAGAGTTGGACAGTTGGGTATTAGCAAGTGGGAGAGTTTGACAGTATGTGGGGGTGCATGTCGTCATGGGGGAAGGGTGGACAGATGGGTGCTGGGTATCATGGGGTGGGGACGAGTTGGAGGCAGATGGGGCATTTATGCATGGGGAAGAGTGTGGACAGATGGTGCATTAGCATGGGGAAGAGGCCGGGCAGATGTGGCTTAGCATGTTGAATCGTTGGACATATGGGGCATTAGCTGGGGGAAGAGTTGGACAGATGGGGCATGTAGCATGGGGAGAGTTGGACAGATGGGCATTACGTGGGGAAGATTTGTACAGATCGGACATTAGCATGGGAAGAGTTGGACAGATTGACATTAGCATGGGACGAGTTGGACAGATGGGGACATTAGCATGGGGACCGAGGTTTGGACAGATGGGACATTCGCCTGTGAAGATTGGACATGCTGGACATTACATTTCCGTTTGCGAAGAGTTCCGATCAGGTCACCAAAGTGACATTAGCCTGGTGAAGATTGGCCAATTGTGGCCCGTTAGCATTGGGAAGGTGCTCGACAGAGTCTATGCTCTTTTGCTCAGCATTAGCATGGGGGAAAGTTGCAAGTGTTGCATTAGCATGGGGAGAGTGGACAGATGGTGCATTAAAAGCATGGGATAAGAGTTAGGACAATGGGCGGCAGTAGCATGGGAAAAGCCGGGCAGATGGGGCAGGGGGGTGGGGTAAGCATCGGGGAAGAGTTGGACATATGGTACATTAGCATGGGAAAGCCGGGGCAGCTGGGGCATTAGCATGGGGAAGAGTTGCAGATTAGGCATTGCATGGGGAAGAGTTGGACAGATGGGGCATTAGCATGGGGAAGGGTTGGACAGATGGGGCATTAGCATGGGGAAGAGTTGGACAGATGGGGCATTAGCATGGGGAAGAGCCGGGCAGATGGGGCATTAGCATGGGGAAGAGTTGGACAGATGGGGCATTAGCATGGGGAAGGGTTGGACAGATGGGGGCATTAGCATGGGGACGGGTTGGACAGCTGGGGACATTAGCATGGGGAAGGTTGGACAGATGGGGCATTAGCATGGGGAGACGCGGTTGGCAGATGGGGGCATTAGCATGGGGAAGGGTTGGACAGATGGGGCATTAGCATGGGGACGAGTTGGACAGATGGGGCATTAGCCTGGGGCACGAGTTGGCCAGATGGGACATTAGCATGGGGAAGAGTTGGACAGATGGGGCATTAGCATGGGGAAGAGTTGGACAGATGGGGCATTAGCATGGGGAAGAGTTGGACAGATGGGGCATTAGCATGGGGAAGAGTTGGACAGATGGGGCATTAGCATGGGGAAGAGTTGGACAGATGGGACATTAGCATGGGGAAGAGTTGGGCAGAGTTGGACATTGCATGGGACAGAGTTGGACAGATGGACTAGCATGGGGAAAGAGTTGGACAGATGGGGCACCATTAGCATGGGGAAGAGTTGGGACAGATGGGTCATTAGCATGGGAAGAGTTGGACAGCATGGGCATTAGCATTTACATGGGGAAGCACTAGTTGACCCAAGATGGCATTAGCAGGGGAAGAGCCTGCATATCTGGGCATTACATTGGGTAAAAGAGTTGACAGTAATGGGTGCTTTGTTTGTTGCGTCTACTCCCTGTCTCTCGTCTACACGTCTCGTTATTACGATGGGGAAAGAGTTGGACATATGGACATTAGCATGGGGAATAGTGGGACAGCTGGACATTAGCATGGTGAGAGTTGTACAGTATGGGACACGTTTAGCATGGGTAAGAGTTGGACCAGATGGGGCATTAGCATAGGGAAAGTTGGACGACTGGGGCATTATCATGGGGAAGGGTTGACAGATGGGGGCATTAGCATGGGGAAGGCTTGGACAGATGGGCATTAGCATGGGGAAAGCCGGGCAGATGTCGCATTAGCCATGAGGGACGAGTTGGACAGATGGGGCATTCTATAGCAAAAATACGGCTGGCTCCCTCATCGAACGCAGCGGCGGCGGGAGCGCACGCCCTGCTGTCCCAGCTCCTCCGGCCGGGGAGGGGGAGTTCCAGGGGGCCACTCCCCCCGCCCTTCTACGCTCACGAGGGCACGATGGGGCATTAGCATGGGAAGAGCGGCATTGGGCATTAGCATGGGGAAGATTGGACAGATGGGGCATTAGCATTGGCGAAGAGTTGGACAGATTGGCCTTAGCATGGGACGATTTTGGACAGATGGGTCATTAGCATGGGAAGCCGGGCAGTATTGGCTTAGCCGTGGGGAATTAGCAGGGGAAGGGTTTGGGACAGGATGGGGCATTAGCATGGAGGAAGAGGTGGACAGATGGGGCATTAGCATGGGGAAGGGTGGACAGATGGGCATTAGCATGGGGAGGGTCTTTGGACAGATGGGGCATTAGCATGGGGAAGAGTTGGACAGATGGGGGCATTAGCATGGGGAAGAGCCGGGCAGATGGGGCATTAGCATGGGGAAGAGCCGGGCAGGTGGGGCATTAGCATGGGAAGAGCCGGGCAGATGGGGGCATTAGCATGGGGAAGAGTTGGACAGCTGGGGGCAAAGCTGGAAATGAGATTCTTCACTGTAGATCTTGTATATGTTGAAGGTTTTGAGCCATGCAACTGTATTTCCTATTCAAGGAAACTTTTTTTTTATCCTCACCCGAGGACATTTTTCATTTTTTTGTTCAAAAAGAGTGGGAGGGAGAGAGAGGAAGAGAGCAAAACATCGACGTGAAAGGGACACATCGAGTGGCTGCCACTCGCACAACCCAACCGGGGCTGGGGACAAACTGCAACCGAGGTATGTGCCCTTAGTGGGAACCGAACCCGGGTCTCTCCCTGGACTGCAGGCTGACGCTCTAACCGCTGAGCCAAACTGGCCAGGGCAAGAAAACTTTTTTTTTTTTAACGTGAAAAGGTCTTCCAAGTGGTTCTGAGAGGGAGGTTTTCCCTGGTGGAAATTGTGGTCAGGCTGCCTTTTTCTGCCCACAGATGAGGGCACTTGGGCCCCAGAGCACAGGGCCAGGGCTGACCCAGGTTACTTGATCAGTTAGAGGCAAAGGGAGCTAAGCCCCCTTACCTGATATTGGCACAGCACCAGGGAAGAGATTTTCTCCCCATTTCATAGGTGGGGAAGTTGGGGCTCAGAGAGGCTCAGCAACTTGCTAGAGCTTGGAGCTAGGATGCTATTGCAGGATTCCAGGGCCAAGTCCAGGGTCCACCAAGGCCCCTGTGGCACCCCTTCTGTTCCCACGGTGGCTTCATGAGACCCTCCAGCCACATTTCTTCCCAAATACATTCAGCATGATGTTATCTCAGGAAATGTGAAAAAGAGGGGTCTGTGGTAACGTGAGTCTGGGAACTGGTGAGTTAAATAATGTTTAACAGGTTTCTTTGCTGCAGGACTTCTCAGAGCCTTTACTAGACAAGCATACACCGTCTGTCTGCAGCAGGTGTTGCCTATCCGTGGTCCAACGTGTTCTGTGGAACCCTGTTTGGGAAACACTAGCCTCTAGGATTAAAGGCAGGATAGTCAACACACTTTATAGTCTGGTATAGCCTCTTTCTGCAGTCTCCGTTGCAGATGTCTTTGACCAGGGAGCATCTGGCAGGACTGGGTAGGAAACAGGACTTTGCAAGGTGCATTTATGGGCCAGTATGTCTTGTGTGCACGGCGAGTCATAATAATGATAATTATCATCAGAACTAGCATGTGTGTGATGCTTTATGACCATGGAGAACATCCATGTATAGGTGGGCATGTTAAGTGTGTATGTGTGTGTGTGTGTATGTGTGGTGGGTGGTGGGGCTCTCTCTGTCTGGGGTGGGGTTCATCCTGGTAGAGGTGCTGATTTCTAATTTTAAAAAAATCCTCACCTGAGGATATTTTTCAATTTATCCTCAGATAGAGTGGAGGAGAGAGAGAGGGAGAGAGAAACATCGATGTGAGAAAGACACATCGATTGGTTGCCTCCCACATGATCCCGACCAGGGCTGGGGACTGAACTGCAACTGAGGTACATGCCCTTGACTGCAATCGAACCCATGACTCTTTGGTCTGTGGGCCAACACGCCAACCGCTGAGCCAAACTGGCCAGGGCAGTGCTGATTTCTTAATTGGCAGGACCCCCTACAGCCTGATAGAATCACAGTCCTCCCCCCCCCCCAGGCTCTTCCTTACCTGTGTCCTCCCAGTTGGACGATCCAAGGCAGGAAGTGACTGTGGAAAGGAGAGAGCAAGGTGAGGAAGTGAGGTCTCCCGCGCTCCCTGCACCCACAGGCCGAGCAGCGGCCTAGTGCTACCTGTCGTACCCTAGGCGGGCCACGAAATCAGTACAGGGGTGACAACCACCACTTCCTTCTTGTTCCAAAACTTTGCTGTTGAAATGGACATGCAGGGAAATGGATTTGTCCTTAGTGCACAGTTCTGAGCGTTAACACATCTGTACGTTGGTGGAAGCACCATCACAATCGCATTGCCTACAACGGTCTCATCACCCCCAAACTTCCTCCTGCTTTCCCTTTGTAGTAACAAGCAAACATCGACTGAAAAAGATGAAATGGAGTGGAATGGGGGCATCAGAATGCACCGGGCCTTGTGAGGACATGGATCACTTTTTGTGCCGTAGATTGCAAAGTGAAAATGTCCCGTATGTTGCTTTCAATCAAACATGTTTGAACTCCGTGATTCTGAGAACCAGGAGATGCGCCAGCTCATGCCTCTAGACAAGGTTCTGCTGTCTGCTATTCCCAAGGCACGGCGAGAATGACAGCAGTTTATCTTTCTCGGCTCCTGGTTCCAGAGGCTCAGACCTCAACCGAAAGGGACTTGCCAAAGGTGGTGCAGCCAGCAGGCAAGGGAGCCAAGACCACAGCCCCCCTGAACCTGGTCTGTGGGAACCGGGTGCAGCTCCGGCCTGGGCCCAGCCAATAGGAATGCGCCTCTTCCCAGCCCTACCGAGGGGGGGCGGTCTCTCAGCAGAGCCCGTGGCTAGCTGACCTGTGGTTGGGCTGCAGGTTTGATCAGGGTGGCGGTGGGATGGGATGGGGGGCATGGGGTGGCACGCCCCTGTGTCCTCAGAGCCCACCCTCCAGGTTCGCCACCCAGCATTATCACTGTGGAACGGGGTACTGACTGCCGTCTGTGTGACTCCTGGGCTGACTTCTCCACTGGGGTCTGTGGTCAGCCTTCGGCCAAGAGTCCCTGTAAGGAAGTCGTCCTGGCCCTGTGATGTTTCCTCCGTCTTGACGACAGCCTTTCATGGCTGCCCTGGGAGTCATCGGTGTGTCTCACGCAGGGGGAGTGGCCAGAGCTCTGGCCCAGGTGGGGCGGGGGTGGACCAGCTGTCAATCATCCAATCTATCGCAGCGGGCAGGGCAGCTGCGGGAGGACCTGGTGGAGGTGCCCAAGCTAACGAGGTGAGAGGTGGCAGGAGGCCCTCGCCCTCGCCCTCGCCCCGATCGCTCACTCCCACACTCCTCTGGCCCCAGCTCCCAGTGGTGAATGGGGCTGTCCACCTTCAGGGAGTCATTTCTTTGGATAAGCCATGAGGGCTGAGGCAGCTTGAAATGGCAGTTCCAGGGAAAGGGGACACAAAGACCCAGTGTTTGGTGCTGTGCGGGTTTCTCCGGGTCTGAGTACCAGCTCCCCCACTTTCTGCCCGCGGGCCCTGGGGGTCTCTTAGGCCCCGTGAGTCTCGGTGTCCTCACCACAGCATGGGAACAAGACGGGCCAGCTCTGCAGTGTGGGTGGAGGTGATCTATGTAGAGGACAGCCCGGGCCGGGGCAGGTGAGGGGACTGCGGGAGCTTTCCCAGCGCGAGGAATCCCCGTCAGGGCCCGCGGAGGGCCAGGTGGTAGGGCTCACACTCCCTTTCCACTCGGGACCCTTGCATTCCCAAAGTCCTCTCGGTCAACAGGCATTATTGACAGCAGCTGCCGTTACTGAGCACCTCCTGCGTACCCGGCACTGAGTCGTTCCTTGTGCGTGTCCTTGTTACTGCCCCACACGGCCTCGATGTGAGTCGAGGATGTTCGTGGGGTGGAGGTCGGGAGAGGGCAGTGCCCATCCCGGTGACGCTGCCGGCAACGGGGGCCGCGCTGGGACCATCGGCCTGCCTCCCGGACCCACGCTCTCTTCTCTCTGCTGCCCAGTTGTGCCTCCAGCGTGCCGGCTTTGGGGATCAGAGATGGACACGAGCCAGACCCTCCCTGACCTTGAGGTGCCTGAGCCCCCAGACCCTGAAGCCCCTGGGCCTGACCGTGCTGGCAGATCTCACCGATCAGCCAGGCCTTGCTCACAGAGTGCTCTTGGGAAAGACTGGACAAGCCAGACCACCAAGGAAAATTCTAAAAAAACTCTGCTCTGATGAGAAGAGGCGTCTGTGCAGTCTAGGGTTCGCGTCCCTCTGGGTGTCCGTCTGTCTGCCCGTCTGTCTGCCCGTCTGTCCGCCCGTCTGTCCGCAGCTGAGCAGCGCTTCCCGCCTGGTTCCTCCAGCAGCAGCATCACCCTGTCGTGGGCCCCTTTCCCAGGCATTTCCTGCTGTAACCTCTCAGGCTTCACTACAGCTCTGTGCCGTCGGTACTGTTATCCTGACCCCATTTTATAGATGAGGAAACAGAGAGATCGACCAGCCCAAGCAGCTGGCGAGTGCTGGGTTGGAACTGGGGCCGGGCTGGCAGGAACCGAACCGAACGTGCGCTTGGTGGGCCCAGCTGCCTCCCGCCCCCTCCTTCGGAGGGGGGCCGCCGCCCTGGCCCGTCTCCCCAGTTCCTGCGTGTTCCTGGTGCGCAAACCTGCAGAGAGGGAACGAGCCTCTGATTCTGTTCATCCTGTGAAACACGCCATGGGAAGACTTTCCTGTGAACTTGCTGTGTGATCTTGGCAAGTCACTCGACCTCTCTGGGCTCGGTTTCCTCATCTTTAAAACGAGGAAGTTAGCTTCGACGGTCCTTCACCTTCCTCTCGGTTCAAACCTCTAGGGTCTGGAATCCTTAGTTCCTGAGGCGTCTCCGCAGCTGGCAGGGGGTGGGCAGAGGTGGATGGTGCGACGCGTGCCCGACGCAGAGGTGTCCTGGGTGCTTTATTCTTTCATCTGTCCAGGGAGACGGTCAGGTTTTGATTGTCCAGAGCTGACTTTAGCTACTTTGCACAGGGGTCAGACCAAACCCTCCTTCCCTGGTAGACTGCTCAGGGGTCCTCTGAGCCTCTCCCTGCCACAACTTACCCCACCGGCCCTGCCAGCAGCCCGAGGTCCGAGGCTCTTGGTGGCAGAATCTGTGGACAGGAGCCTAGAGACCCTTGAGACCACGAGGGACACGAGGCACGGAGCATCATGCCCTTTCCTAACCCGCCACCCACAGCGACGCCCCAGCCGCTGGAGCTGGGATGAGGATGCTCCAACGGCCCTTCCTGAAGCCAGAACTGTAAGGCTCGGACTGACCGCGTGCAGGCCAAGCCCAGGTCAGAAAGCCAGCGTCCCGGGCCCTCTCTGAGTTCTACAGTCACAGAGCTTCGGCCCATCTGCCCCTGCCCGCTCCCACGAGGCCTCGGCGAGGAGACCCATTCCCGAGAGCGGCTCGGAGACACGCGGGCGGCTCACAGACCCCGGCACCCCCACTGGTTCTCCCTGGGGCACCCGCAGGCCATGTGAGGCCGGGGATGAGTTTGCTTTGCCTTGCACAGTGAAACAATGCGGGGTGGTGGTGGAACTTTAAAAATGTTTTCTTTTGTTTTGTTTTATAAAAAAAAAATTCCCGAGATCCAGATGCTTTTGGAAAATAGGTTGTTCTGGCCACACGGGGCCGGGTCACCGCCAGCCCTGGGCAGTGGCCTGGCCTTCTGGTTTGCCACGGTCCCTGGGGCAGCCTCCTGCCACCCTGCGCCTGGAGAGCCACAGCTTCAAACACAGGACGGTCTTTGCGGCGAAATGGACGCGTCTTCTCCGAAGGGGGATGCGTTAGGATTACAAATAGCCTCCCATCCCCTCAGGCCGGGATTCGCACGGATTGTGTTTGCCGGAAATGTACCGATGTTTGGGTTTGGAATTACAGGTGACCATTTGCAGCCCTGCAGGGTGGGTTCCACTTTGCAGGCCTCAGCAGTGCCAGGATGTACAGAGCCCAGGCTGGCCCGCCTTTGGCTCACTGCCCTGCCTGGACCCCGGACACCTGCGCCCACAGCCCCTACACACCGGACACGGAGCGCAGGGCGTGGCCTGCTGAGGGTCCAGCGGGCGCCGGGGTCCCGGGAAGGGCCGAGACATTACCGACGATGACAAGGGTGGTGATGAACATTGACTGAACTCTGACCCCTTGCAGACCCCGGGCGGCCGAGAGTTCACCGTGGAAGACCCGCCAGCCGCATAAGAGGGCTCTCACACTGTCGCCCATGCAAGGGAACCAGCAGCCTGGTTTGGTGTGGTTTGAAGTCAGATGGTCCATTTTTCCATAAACAACGCTTTCCCCCACTAGTCCAGGAACTTCTCATCGATTTACAGCTAACTCCCGAGGTCTGATGGCTTTTTGGAGCATTCTGGGTCTCCCCCCCCATGAGAGGCCACCTCGAAAGGTGAGAAGCCCCCTTTTCCTGGACAGACATGATCAGGGAGCCGTGTCTCACCTGCATGTTTCAGGGCTTTAGGGAAGCAAAGACCACAAGGGCCCAGGTTCGGTTTCCCTGGCCGAGCCCCAGATGGAGCGATGGGTTTGGGGTGAGAATCACACTGGGCTCCGGCCAGGACAGCCCGTGGACGGGAGCCCATGGAGGGCTCAGCCGACTCGGGCCCTGAATCGCGCCCCCCAGGGCCTGCGCTGAGGAGCGGACGGCGAGCTGGCGGGGGGCAGAGTGACCTTCGTCACCCAGCGTATCGCTCTCTGCCTGGAGGCTGTGCCTCTAATTTAATCTGCCTGTTTCATGCCTCACACATGCTCCACTGTCACAGTGACAAGCCCTCCATTTTGTTCAGAGCGTCACGTACCCCAGAAGTGTCACACTCGGGGACTCGTTCTTTCCACCCACATCCCTGTGTCGAAGGAACCAGGCTCACCCTCATTTTAAGATCAGGAAACCGAGGTTCAGAGAGGCTGAGTGACTTGCCCAAGGCCACACAGCTCACTGGTGGTCGAGTCAGGGCAGAAAACCCATCTCCGTCCCTTGACAGGGCCCCATGGGAGTCTACCAAGGGGAGACCCCAGAGCCTGCTTGCCCGTGGTACAGAGAGGGAAACCGAGGCTGAGAAGAGAAGGGAGTATTGGGGTGCCTGTAGGAGCCCTGGGAGCCCAGGGTACATAACCATGATGATGGTACTGCTGACAGCATTAGGTATAGAGGAAGTGACCACAATCCCTCATCTGCAATTCAAAATCCAAACCCAAATCTCCCTAATACATTGGCCTGGAGGGAACTGTGGCCTTCAGGGGCCCCTGAGCGTGAATTCCTGCTTCAGTGCAGAAGTGGTCTCACTGGGAGGTGAGCACACAGCCCATGCAGGGCTTACTCTCCGCAGTCTGAAAATTCTGAATTCCCAAAGCAGCTGGCCCCGGGTTCAACATACGGGCGTGGAGCGGTGGGTTACTGTTCCCCTAAGGACGTGCACACACATTCTCCTCTGCTCAGTTCAGTGGAGAAAAAGCCCCCGTCCTCTGGGAGGCCCACAGCCGGGTGCTGGCGGCCCCTCTGCCAGAGTCCTCCAGGCCGGCATGGCACCCCCCCCCCCCAGTATTTTCTCAGCCGTTATCTTCTCACGAGGCCCATGCACCCTCCAGGTCCAGCCCGGCCCCTAGAGCTCCCGACCCCCCGACCCACACGCACGGCTCAGCACCCACGCAATCGCGGCCTACCCCGGCTCGTGTCTGTCTCCCCCTCGCACCCCAACTACAGTGCTGGACGCACCAGGGCAGGGTTTCCTGGTTCCCTGCAGTGTCCCAGTGCCTGAGCCGTGCCTGGCTCATAGTGGGCGCTCAGTACATACTTGTTGTCGGAATGAAAGAACGAACAAATCGGATTTAATGACAAGGACCCTTTGAGGCAGGCAGTGGTTGGCCCCATTTCCTAGATGAGAAGGCTGAGACTTAGGAGGTGTTCTTGTCTCTTGTGAGTGGCCACGAAGAAATTAGACCGAGACGTGTGCTGCTCCGAGCTGTACAGGCCTTCACAAAGGGACACAAAACACACTGAACACACAACACATACATCACAGATACACACATGCTCTCACATGCACCCACACGCGCGTGCGCGTGCACACACACACACTCACACAGTAGGTATTCAATCAGTTTTGTCAGGGGGAGTTGAAGTCCCTCGCTGGTCGCTATGGAGAAAACCCCTCTGAACGGTCGGAGCTGGACAGAGAGACCCGAAGGGCCAGTGCCAGCCCTGGTCTCCTCGCTCCTCACCGGGACTGCTGGGGCCTGATCCTTTGTACCTCGAGCCAGGCTGGGCAGCCTGCTCGCGCCGCAGCCCCTGCTCCCCTCCTCAGTGTGCGTGCCCAGACCTTAGGCCGGGCACTGCCCCTCAGTGAACTCGTCCCTGGTCTCAACAGTTGCTGTTCCCTTGATTGCACTTGTCACGATATTTGTCAACATTTCGGGTGCTCGTTTACTTGCGTTCTGGAATGGTCTCCTCTGGTAGCCTGGTGCAGAGGGAGGGCTTCCTGTGCTGTTCACTGCTGCATCCCCAGGGCTTCACACAGAGCCGGACACATAGTAGATGCTCAATAAATACTTGTAGGTGAGTGAATGAGTGAATAGCCTGTGCAAGAGGGTTGGGGAACAGCGAGATTGATGGCTAGGCCAGCGTCTGGAGAGACCCCTCCCCACCAAGTCCTGCCTTACCTTGTTTCTTTCTGACTCTGATAGCAGCAATAATAATATTCACAATAGTAATGATTATTATTAATGCTTCTTGAGCACTTACTCTACCATATGCCGGCATTCTTACCAACACTCTAGTTGTATTGATTCGTTGAATCCTTATGAACCTGACAAGGCAGGTACTGTTCTATTCCCATTTTGCAGAGGAGAAAACTGTAGCTTACAGACAGGTCCAAGGTCACCCTGCTGGCAAGTGGCAGACAGGACTTAGAGCCGGAGTCTATGCCTCCCCAGAGCCTAGTGCTGGCTTCTGGAGTCCTGGTGGCTGGGCCGGCCGGGCATGCAGCGGTCAGGGCCGCCGCCCCATCCCACCCCCAGCGGGTGAGCCCAGCCAGGTTGGGGCTAAGGGCAGCCCTGGAGGGGAGCTGCTGTGGGAAGCCACGGCCACTGTCACCCCAGCCATGCTACACGCATCTTCATGTCCCAAAGGCCCTACGTCACGGGCGTGGCCCAGAAGGCCAGCCAGGAGGCTGCAGCGTCTCCCCGGAATGGCTGGCAGGTGCCTGTGCTGTCTGCCCCTCCCCCCCGCTCCAGCCCTGGACCTTGGCGCCTGAAAATCTGCTGGTGGCGGCTGTGTCCTGCGGCCATTTCCCCGCATGGGGGTGGCTCCGCGGGCCTTTGCGCTTAGCTAGGGGTCCGGAAGGGCCTCCGTGAGCAGCAGTGCTGGGCTGGGGTCGTTGTTGACTCTGCTGCTCATAGCTGCTTCGCCCTGGGCTTGCACTTGGCTTTTCTGGGCCTCAGTTTTCTCCGCTGTGAAATGGGGACAATGGGCCCACCTACTTCATAGGCTATTGTGGAGCTTACAGAAGAAAATGGTTTTGAAGGCATCTAAGCTATGACCCACTGAGCAACAGGAATGGTTATGATCCACCAGTACATACACACACAGACACACAGACACACAGACACAGACACACACACAGACACACACACAGACACACACATACACATACACAGACACACACACAGACACACACAGACACACACACAGACACACACATACACAGACACACACACAGACACACACAGACACACACACAGACACACACACATACACAGACACACACAGACACAGACACACACACAGACACACACACAGACACAGACACACACACAGACACACACAGACACACACACATACACAGACACAGACACACACACAGACACAGACACACACACAGACACAGACACACAGACACAGACACACACACAGACACAGACACACAGACACACACACAGACACACACACAGACACAGACACACACACATACACATACACACACAGACACACAGACACAGACACACACACAGACACAGACACACACACAGACACAGACACACATACACACACACACACGTGTGCACGCACACTGGGAACCACGTGCTCCCATGGTACTCAGGGTGAAGGCATTGCCTCCGAGTCTTCCTAACTGTGGGCTCCTTTGGGCCCTGGACCTGTGTGGTCCTGCAGGAGCCTCACCCCACAATGGGATTCAGGTGGGAGACCCATGGGGCAGGACCCCCAACCCCATTCCCAGCTGGGAGCTTGGCAGGCCCCTGCTCCGTTGAGGTCAAAGGCCACAGGTGAAGGGTAGGTGGGAATTTAAGGGCCTGGTCCTAGGACCCCTCAGGGCCAAGGAAGCCGGAGCAGCTCCTGGGAGGCAGCCAGGAGTCCATCGCTGGGCCTCGGCCCTGGGCACAGACGACATTTGTACCCTTGCGGGTCCCTGTCAGCGCAGCCACGAGAATGTGTGTGCACATGTACCACCGTCACATGCTCAGGGGATGGTAAGGCGACCTCAGGAGGCATGTCTGGCCCATGAAAACACGCACATACACACAAACACACATACCTGCTTGTGCACACATTCACACGCCTGTTCACACCTGCACACCAGCTTCTCCAGGGAGCCCTGAGGGTCCCTGCTCAGCAGGAACGTCTCCTCAGACCTTTCCTTCCAAACCGGGCAGCTGCGGGCCCCTTTCTGTTCCCGTTCCCGCCGTGGAGCCCAGCACCTTTGTGCCCACCACACCTTCCAAGCCCTTGAGAAGTCAGATCGCACCTAGTTCACCCCCGTGCATTTTGTAAATGGGGAGCTGGCGGCCTGGAGGCCTGAGGACCTCTCCTAGGTACACACGACCAGGCTCAGAGCCCAGGCTCAGGCCGCAGCGCGAACATTCCCGCCGCCCGTTGCCCGGGATCCTCCCCGCTGGCCAGAGTCGGTTCTGCCCCAGCAACAGGGCTCTGGTCCGGAGCTAATGTCCCAAGTCCTCGGGGATGGAGGACCCCCAGCTCCCACCATCTCCCCCAGCAAACAGAAGGGCCCAGGTTGTTTCCACAGTGGCCCACGGGGACAGGGGTGGGTTCTGAAGCCCCTGCTCCTGCCTGGGGGAGACCCAGGGTTGAGCTCCCAGCCTGGCTGGGGCCCCACGGAGAACAGAACCAGAGGGACCAGGAGCTAAGGTATGTGTCTCTGGCATCTGCTTGGCTATGTTCTCAGAGATGGTCCCCACCCTGCCTCAGCCACTCTGCCCAGAGCATCATCAGAACTGCCCAGGTTCTCCTGTCCTGAGAGTCACCCAAGTAAAGGCTGGACCCTCAGGGGGCAGGGGGAGCTGCAGAGGGAAGCCTACCTCAGGCGGGGCTGAACGACGTGACTTCTAGGCTGAGCATGTGATCTGGCACGGATCCCATGCCACCCGAAGGGTACGCGAGGCCCCCGTAGGGCGAGAGAACAGAGTTGGGACACAGAGGGTGGGACCAGCTAGGCCAAGAGCAAAGTAAGGGCTGGCGGCCCAGACAGGGATCCTGGTGGCCCCAGTCCTGCATGATACTTCAGGGAGGTGACATGGGAGCCTTAGAGTCAGACCAATGGAAGAACTGTCCCCCAAGCCCAGGTACCCCAGCAGATGCCCCAGGAGGGGTACTCACCCAGCACCCCCAGCAGGCAGAGGGCAGCCAGCGGCAGTTGCTGAGACTCCATGGGCACAGCCTCCTCCTCCTGCCTTGGCAAGCTCAGCACCCGTGGGTGAGGCTGTCTGGCCCCCGTGTCTCCCTCTCACGGCGGAGGGGCGGGCGGGCGTCGCAGGGGTGGTACTGCGAGCGGCAGTGCAGGGCCCGCGTCACTGTGTTTGAAGTTGAACTGTCAACTTCCTCCTGGTGAAACCACCTGTCCCAGTTCGAATGGCGGTGCCGGCCTCTGCCAGCTTCCTGCCCGAGGTGCCCAGGGCTGGGCAGAGCCCGACTGTGCCACACTGGGGCAGGCTCCTGGGAGGGAGGCGGCCTGGCCCCACTGAGAGCAGGCCGAGGGGACCAAGAGGCAGGGACAAGCCCCTCGGCAGGGGTCCCACCCAGATGGTGCCGAGCTGCACTGGGTGGTGAGAGGCGGGAATGGGGGCACGACACCAGTTCTTGCTGCAGACTGTGATGAAACCCCAAATGACACCCTCCATCTCCCCTCTAGGAGTGAGGCATAGCCCCACAGGTGGTATTTCACCAGCAAGCACAGGAGAGGGCTCCTTCAGGAACACTGGGCTTGCGTCAGTGTGTGTGTGTGTTTGTGTGATCCCCGTGTCAGTGTGTGTGTGTGAGATCCCTGTGTCAGTGTGTGTTTGTGTGATCCCCGTGTCAGTGTGTGTGTGTGAGATCCCTGTGTCAGTGTGTGTGTGTGTGTGAGATCCCTGTGTCAGTGTGTGTTTGTGTGATCCCCGTGTCAGTGTGTGTGTGTGAGATCCCGTGTCAGTGTGTGTGTGTGTGTGTGTGTGATTCCCGTGTCAGTGTGTGTGTGTGTGTGTGAGATCCCTGTGTCAGTGTGTGTGTGTGTGAGAGATCCCTGTGTCAGTGTGTGTGTGATCCCCGTGTCAGTGTGTGTGAGTGTGTGTGTGTGAGTGAGTGTGTGTGATCCCCATGTCAGTGTATGTGATCCCCGTGTCAGTGTATGTGATCCCCATGTCAGTGTGTGTGTGAGTGAGTGTGTGTGTGATCTGTGTGTTGCTGTGAGATCTCTGCTGATATTGCTCCCGGAGGAGCTCTAATCAACCTCTGGCCTGCCGAGCAGGGGCAGGGTGGCTGGATTTCTGTAGGGTAGATGGGGGCCTGGGACGGGCAAGGCCTTCAGTCTCCAGGACCTGAGCACACCCTGGACGGGGAGACAGAGGCCCAGACTCAGGCCTCTCCCATCTGGGCGGGCGGGGGCATGGGTACACCAGAGCTCAGTGGGAGGTGGCGAGGGTGAGGGTCTGAGCCGGTCTTCCAGCCGGCCCTCCCCTGCCTCCCCTCCCCCCGCAGCTCCAGGTCCTTCGGGGCGGGGGCTCTCCTTTCTCAGGCCTGTCAGGTGGTTTCAGCAGCTGCCTGAGGACATCTGCGCAGCCCCCAGCATCCAACACTGGGCAGTCTCTGCTACACGAGGCCTAGAGGGTTTCGGGCGCTTGGACCGGTTCCTCAGACGGAAGAATTGAGGCCTGGGATCGAGGAATAAGGACCTCACAATGGAGTGATTGGGGGCGACACCCACCACCTCATGCAGGCTTCGGGGTTGCCTCATCCCTCCTCAGAGGTGCCCTGCGCTCACATCCTTCCTGTCCTGCGACGCTGGAAATCCCAGAATCCATTCATCTGTTCTTTCATTCGCTCAACACATCTTTGTCCCTGCCAAGCACCAGGGACACAGATGAATGGTCCCGCCCAGCTTACATGCCAAGGACCCTCTGTATCATTTTTCTCCTAAGACTCGGTGTTATTGGTCACCCTAGCTCTGCGTATGATCCTTCGTGGCCGTTTTTATTGTCTCAGTTTACATAACTGCCCTTGGAAAGGGAGAGCGGATTTTATTGAGCACCTGAGTGAGCAGGGGCGTGGCCTCTTTCATCTGCCCAACCATCATGGAAGTGGGCGGAGTTTCTCGGGTCACAGATGAGGACCCTGAGGCTCAGGAGGGACCACACAAAGGACCACACGTGGCCACTGGAGGCCGGAACTCAGATTTGAGCCCCAACTCCCCACCTCCCAACCCTCCACCCACCCAGCAAAGAGCACAAGCAAAGAACTTTGCTTTTTATTTAATCTCAGAGTCTCCGTCGCAGGCAAGGTTATGGTTTCTAATCTTTGCTATTTGTTTGTTCTTGGAAAATGGAAAGCAGCTCAGGGCCTGGGGGAGGCTGTTTTCTGGGTTCTAGCCCTCATCCCAGTGAAAGGGGCCTGGCACTCCCCAAACCTTACCACCTCACACGCAGCCCTGCCCCCAGACTCCCGCCTCCTGGAGCCCCTCCCGCCCTCCCTGCAGCCCACCCCTCCACTAGTCACCCCTCTCTTCCCCTCCAGGCCCACTGACCCACTCAGATCCCAGACCCCTGGTGGGAGTTTCCTGTTCTCATCACCCTCACTTTCCATGACACGAGAGGAAGTCAGCTGAGCGGGGCTGGGTTTTCCAGGCTGCCTGGCCCGGGGGGAGGCCGAAGGTGGGGTCAGGGCAGGGGTTAGCAGCCCCCAGGGCCGGGAGTCAGTACCTCCTGGGCCTCCGCTGGAGAGGCGCCTGCCTGCTGCCCTGGCCACACCAGGTAACCACGGAGTGTGTGTGCGTCTGTCAGTCGGACAGCCCAGGGCTGCTCCAGTTCCTCTGGGCTCCCTGACTCTTCCAGAGCCCCCAGGATTTGCCCTCTCTGCATGGGCAAAGGGGCCACAGGGTTGAGTGGGGACGGGGGAGGAGCTGAGGGTTGGGAGGGAGAGACGGTGGCGGGAGGAGAGGAAGGACACCCTGAAATGTGACTGGTGCACAGTAGACCCGGGCACAGCCTGGTGGCCAGAGGTGGTGCCTCTGCTGAGTTGGCTGGAAGAGCCTGCAAGTGTGTGTGAGTGACAGTGACCTGCACCCTGGAAACCTGTGCGTGGCAGCCTGGACGGGCCCACTGAGGGGGCGGGTTTTGCAGCACCACCACCTCCACTCCAGCTCAGAAAGTGCATCCCCTCCCCAGCTTTGCTCCTGCTCGATCAGATCACTGAGGGGGGCTGGGAGGGGGAAGGAGGGACATAAGAACGGGGTTCTGGACCTCGATGGGCAGCAGAGGGGCCAGTGGGTGTAGTGGAGGGGTGCTGGCCCAGGTGGGCACCTGCATTGGAGTCCCATCTTTGCCCCAAATGGCCGTGTGGCCTCTCAGGGCCTCAGCTGACTTGTCTGTAAAATAGGGGGTTGGATGACCCTGAGGCCAGTTCTCCTGTAGGACCCCCGCCTGGCCCTCCAAGCCACACTGAAGCATGGGAGGCGGGTGGGGGGATTTCTCTCTTCTGGAGGGTTTGATTCTTTGTCTTGAATGAGAAAGTATCAGGTGCCAGGGCTTTGGGGCCGGGCAGAGGGCAGAGCACTGGAGGAGGCGCTGGGCGGGGCGCTGGCTCTGTACAGAGGCTGTGTGTGCACTGTTGCCGAGTCCCGGGCCGGCGTGGGGCCTCCCTGGAGGGCCTGTCCTCCCCACACTGTCCCAGCCCTCCCCGGAGCCCAGACAACTGGCCTCACGCCCCTGCAGTGAAATCTTGAGTAAATGACTCACACTAGATACTTAGATTCCTCATCTGTGATCTGTGTTGGTTAGAAGATGCACAGACAAGAGTAGCCGGTGCAAAGAGCACAGCACAGTCCTGGCTGATAGCAAGGGCTCCAGGCACCTTAGCTATTACCATAGCCATAGCCATAACTATAACTGTGTTATGATGGTCATTTCAGGGTGGGGAGGATAGGGTTCGGGGTCCAGAAGCTGGCTTTCCATTCTGACTAGGTGAATGACCTTGGGCAAGTCATTTCCCTTTTCTGAGTCTGATTATTTTCTTCTATAAGATGCGGGCAAGAAGAGATCTCTGCAGTTCAGGGTTTCTGGAAGATTCCGTTATAATGTCATGAAGGGCTTGTAAGCCTTAGTGTACTCCCTTGAGTTTGAGGGCTGGTCCGCTCAGGCCTCGTCCACCCAGCCTCCTCCCAGGGTTTGTGCAGGGGGGCCCAGCTGTTGCCCTTGAATGAATCGACTTACCCTTCTCACTCCACCCCCACCAGGCCCGCTGCAGGCCTTCCGTGCGGATGTTCGGGAAACACACATCCCACAGCCCATGGCCCCATGTGTGAATCATGGTTTCTCTTCTCTTGCTTCTGTAGGTAAGATTGGACTTGTTCAACCATGGAGACTAAGTTTTGATTGAAAAAATAAGGCCACCTACAAGATAAAGTAGGACAAGTGTTAACCGAGCCCATTTTTTAGATGAAGTAACTGAGGATCAGAGAGGTTAGGTGAATTCCCCAAGGCACACAGCTAATCGACAGTGAGGTTTGGACTGGACCCCCAGGTCTCCTGGTCCGTGGGCCACCCTTTCTCAGCACCGCCTCTGTCTCTCAGTAGGCTGGTGCTTCCCTTGCCCTTTGGGGGCCTAGGAGGCCCGCAGTCCCAGCTCTGTGTCCTCGGCCCATGGCCAACGCCTTGGAGCCTCAGATCCCCTCTGTAAAATGGGCAGAACAGAGTCTGTCTTGAGGGTTCAGCATTTCTAAAGTCCCTGGTGCTGGTGGAATCTCTCTCCTTTCTTGTTTCTTTCTTTCGTTATCCAACCCAAGCCTTCTCTCTCCAGCACCCAGCACCTGCCACACAGCTCTTTCTGGAACAAATGAATGAATGAAGGACAAGGGAGGCCAAGCACTGTGACACCCCCGGCCCCCGCCCTCCAGCCCTAAGCTTCCAGTCTACTGGGAGACCCCCATGGGGAGCTGAGACCACAGCTGAGGCACTGCACGAGAGGCTGGGCCTGAGGAAGCCTGCAGGAGGAGGTGTGTCTAATCCATCTTCTGAGAAAGTCAAGGAAGGCTTCCTGGAGGGGATGACATCCAGACTGAGACCCAAGGGTGAGTAGGAGCTTGCCATTTGGCAGTGGGATTGGTTTTCCAGGCCGAGGGCAAAGGCTTCTGGGTCCTATTATTACAATAACTGTGTTACTAGAGGTGAGAAAAATCTAGAAGTTGGGGAACCTGGACTTCAGTCCTGAATCAGCCCCTCACTCACTCTGTGACTAGGGTTGAGTGT